TCCAACCGGGAGGGGATGGTTTCCTGACCAGGAACGCAACCCATAACGTCGAGGTGAAAGCACAGAATGTGAAGTCTAAGGCCGCGAGGTCGAGTGACCTTTGCTGTTATTCCTACAGGGGCAGTTTGAGCAGACACAGGAGTTTATCTTTGTTTTCGTCATATTTTTTGCTCTTCACTTTCGTCAAGCAAAGTTTTAAGGTTAGCCGTGGCACCATCCTGTGTCTTTTCATACATTTAACCTTTATATCGAATGCTTAGAATAAGAAAACTCTAAAATCGTTTTCATAAAATGTGGGAGGCTAATTTCAAGGATCAATCAATCTTTTGGCCATCGGCAATTAGAATTCTCAATAGCGTAGTGATGTTCAACAGCAACTACCCTCTTCAGAGAAGGAGTAGTCCCAAAGATGCCCCCTGTTCCCAGACATAGGCTAGATAACAAATGATTCCTTCCTGGGGTTGCAGTTTGCCAGCTCACGCTAGTTAGACCAGCGGTCCCCAACCTTTGTGGCACCACAGACCTGTTTCATGGAAGACAAGATTTTCATGGAACAGCACTGGGAGTATGGTTTTGGGATGACTCAAGTGCATTACACTTGTCGTGCACTTTATTTCTATTTTTATTCTATTGTAATATGTCATGAAATCATTTTACAACTCACCGTAATGTAGAATCTGTGGGAGCCCTGAGCTTGCTTTCCTGCAACTAGACGGTCCCGTGTGGGGGTGATGGGAGACAATGACAGATGATCAGGCATGAGGTTCTTACAAGGAGTGGTATGCACCCTAAATCCCTCTGTAACCAATACATCTGTTAGACTCCTGACCCCTCATCTCTCTCCTACTTGAAGACGGGTTCTTTACTGGGGTACTCAAGTTAAATTACATTCATTACGGTGGGCTCTAACCAAAACGTCTAGCGTGCATTGTGGCTATCCACAGGAACTTCAGACACAGAGACATGTGTACGAGGGAGGAAATGTGAAGTGACATTGGGAGAAGTGGGTCGTCCTCAAGCCAAGGAAAGATCCCTGGAAGAGATCCTTCCCTCTTTCTCCTCAGAAGTAACCAACCCAGCTGACGGCTTGATTTGGACTTCCAGCCTGCAGAACTGTGAACAATAAATTTCTGCGGTTTAAGCCACCAGGCCTGTGGTATTTGTCAGAATAGCCCTAGCAAACTACTAGAGATTCTGCTGCCAAGCAGTGGGATGATGCCGTAAGGAACACCCAAAGGACTGGAAGAGGCCTTGGAACTAGGTAATGCATAGAGACTGGAAGCGTTCTGACGCGCATGACACAAGAAGCCTAGAGTGTCTTTAGGAGACAGCTGGGGGAAATATGAACGCAAAATGCAAGTCAAACGAAGGTTAAGAAAGAATTCTTTGCCGTCGAGAAAGGCTATCTGACTTAAAGAATACATGTATCATGACCACCTATATGTTGCTAGAACTGTGAGTGCCAAAGGTGTTTGTGGTGAGTTTTCAGACGGAGTCTAGGAAGATGTTATGGGAAGCACACGAGGAAAGGGGATCCTGGTTTTACAGTGGCAAAGATTTGGGCTTTAATGTGTTCTTAGTGTTTTCGAGGACAGTAGAAATCGTAAGTAATGAAATTGCACATGCAGCTGACTTCTAGTGTTGGGGCTCAGAGCGCAATACCTCAAGATGAAGGCCTCAGAAGTAGTCTCAGATATAAAACATTTTCTCTGACGTTCCATGGTCTCCTGTCTCTCAGTCCCAATCTGCCCCAGGGGCTAATCATAGAGATCAGAATCCCTCTTCCCGAAGGTGGGTCCTAGGAATCGGAAGCCCCTTTCTCTAAAGATAGTCACAGAACCTAGAAATGATATTGTAATATATTTCCACCTTTTCATGTACAACCCGACTATGAAGAAATAATCTAACCCATCTTTTTCGATAGGCTAAATCGCAAGAAACCCCATTGCAGAGAGGGTCATGACCCATAACCAGGAGGAAGGACTGTGTGCTCAGAGAAGCCAAGCAGAGTCTAGACGGACGGGCCTGGCCGGGTTTCCCGCACTCAGTCTGTTAGCATTAGATTACAGCCATTTGTTCCAATATGTTTATACTCAGCTGTCCATACTTCTTGGAGCCCATGCATAAAAATAGATGATTTCCCATGTGTCTTTGGCTATTCACACTACAGGCTCCCGGGGATACAAGTTAAATAAGTTGGTATGCCTTATGTCCTATGGATGTGCCTTTTGCAAGCTGATTTTTCAGTGAAACTTAAGAGGTCCGGGGGGACCCGTAGCCACTACAGTGGCAAATTGAGAAAACCATTTAGGGTTTAATAAGGTTTCTACTGGATCCATATAGTAAATGGAGAAGAAGAAAGGCAAATTAGCCAAGGAAGCACTGAGGAGAAGGAAGCCAGCGTTTGATGATTCAGAAGGTACAAAGAAAGAAGATAGTTCACTCTGGAAACAGGTCCAAGGGTGCGCCTGGAAACCCATTAGCTAGAGAAGTGGGGCATGTAACTCATGGATCCAATAAACCATCTCTGCAGAAGTTAGGAACTGACATATGGGTATTCAAGGAAGATCTTGTCTGATGGCATGGACTCATGTGAATTCCCCGAGAAGCCAAAAAGTTTTTGAGAATTTTATACCAGAAAAAAAGTGTTGTGAGAATGAACTGGATGGGACAAAGATGGCTGAAATGGAAAGAAGCTGTTAGAGTTCCTGGATTGTACAGGCAAGAAAGGGGCTGACTGAGGTACCCAGCTGTGGCCATTTCTTCACATTCGAGAAGACGAGGAAGGACTCCAAAGTTGGGTCAAAGGTTGGCACGGCCGCCACCTCCCCCCAAGAACCAGGGGCACAGTACCTGGGGGCTGGGCCATCCCTCTCGGTCCCAGAAGCGGATGTCACCTCCTGAGTTCCAGGCATTTGTCCCACCTCCTCGGTTTCAGAGGGATGGGCGGCAGCAGCCCAGGCTGGGGTGAGAGCCTTCACTTGGCTGCCCAGGACTTAGGGTGTGAAGCTGTTACCCCATTGGGCCTCAAGGACAGAGCGTTGAGCCCTAGTAGAATCTTTTCTTTCCACGGAATCTGACGGAGTTTGCCCCACTATGTTTCAAGCTTGCCTCGGGCCCACGAGGTCAAGGACTTTTGCTGAGTTCCTGCTTTCGGTATGATAAGCCCTCTCCGGTGCCAGTCCCACAACTGTGTTTCAGAAGCAGAGAACTTGTCTAGCTTCACAGGTGCAGCGGTGGAGAGAATTCCTACCTCAGCATGAGTCAGACCTGAAGACTCACTCATTCCTGATGGAGAAGATTTTCAGGTGAGATGTTGGATAACTGGTTTTGGACTCAGTTAAGCCTTCGGGGAGGTTGTGATGAAATGAATGTGTTTTCTATGTGAGGACGTTAATTTGTGCTGTGGAGGAGTGGACGCAGAAGAAGCACCATTACGGATGGAGTTTTGTCCCCGCAAACTTCACATGTAGACGTCCTGGCTCCCAGCGTTTTAGAATGTGACCTTATTTAAAGAGAGTCTCTACACAGGTCATCTGGCTAAAGTGAAGTTATGAGAGTAGACCTAACCAATGGGATTCGTCTCCTTACAAAAATGTGACAATTGGTATCCAGAACTGTGAGATAAAAAATAAATAGTGTTCCTCGGACACAGGGAGAGGAATATCACACACCGGTGCCTGTCGGGGGCTGGGGGGCTGGGGGGCTAGGGAAGGGAGAGCCTTAGGAGAAAGACCTAATGTAGAGGACGGGGTGATGGATGCAGCCACCACCATGGCACATGTATAACTATGTAAGAAATCTGCACATTCTGCACACGCACCCCAGAACTACAAGTATAACTTTAAGAAACAAGAAAATAAATAGCGTTTAAGTCAGCCAGTCTCTGGAATGTTTTTGCATCGGCCCTAGAAAACTAATAGAACATCTCCATCAACGGCATTAAAAGCATACATCCAATCGAAGAACCAACGACGCACAACCATCCAACCACAGGTTTCCCCTTCAACTCCAACTGAACATCCCTGGACAACTCACTCTTACTAGTTCAGACCAGGACACCTGATCACACCTTGGGCTGTGGCTCCTGGGCTGCAGGTGCCTCACTGGCTGAAAGGGATCCGAGTGGAGCTTCTGCTGCTCCATCAGACAACATTCCATCATCCCATGATGCGCAGAGGCCAGTCATGAAGGTTTTCAAAAACAAAAGATTCTAGCCTGAAGAAGAGCAGAATCAGAGAAATCTAAACAAGTGAGATTCCAATTCTAGGGAGCCTAGAATAGGAATTGATCCTTACACTTTTGTAGTTTTTTCTGTGCAGTGTTTGGGTCGCTGCTTCTCTTTTGAAATGAACTCCATGGTACAGGGAATGCTGACAGAAAGACTGATTGGACTCTATTGCTCTTATTCCTACTATTTTTCCTACATCGGTATTTCTCATTGGTTATTGAAGCAGTAAAGACATTTTCCTTACTTTGTGTTTTCAGTAAGCCACAGCAAGACATCAGGATTGCTCACTAGGTTCCCCTGCTTCTCAATCACCCACTGAAATGCTGTACCAAAGGCGTGAACCTCCTCTTCCCATCATCCCATCAAACTACCCTTTTGCTCTTTCTTCCTATAATTCGTCGGCATCAGTCCCCTTGAACTCCCACTCTCCACTCTCCACAGCCCGACCAGAGTTCATCGTGGGCCCTGTGTTACTAATGCTCCTCTTTGATTTCTGAATTTGCAGATACAAAACACACACTCCACGGTGAAATATCCCAGTGGATTGGTTTCTGAAAAAGACGTATCAAATTACTCAGTAGATATGCAAGGATAACTTTCGAAATTTATTTCTATGTCCTACTTGACAGAAAAGTTGGCACTTTAAAGCAAAACAAGGAGCATAATGAGAATTCATTGACTGAGTGGGGTGTGGTGTTTTGGATCAGGTACACAGCTCTGTCTCTGGAAAACAACAGGGATCTGCAAAGCATCTTTGGTTTTCAGATTGTTGTGTGGACAGGTAGGAACACTTGTCGGCCTCCTGCAGAGGGATTTCATTGCAGCAGATTTCGTGGTGGTGTTTCTTGGTCTCCTGGCGAGGTGAGCATTTTTCTTCAACTATTTTCATAACATGTTTCCAACAGTCTGGAAAAACAGAAAACAACCAATCCCGGTGAGAGGACTTCTTGATTCTACATCCTTTCTCTTTGGATCCCAAGTGGAGCTCTGGAGGTGACCTTCTACCCGTACCCGTCTGCACTTACTCAGGGAAGCTCTGGCTTCTATCCTGCTCTGCGCTCATTTCCATCTTGACCAAGCGGTCCTCCCCTCAAAGGTAGAATAATCTATGTGGCTGTGTGTTGGGTCCCCCTGGGGTGGTTATTTCCCACTTCTGAGGGGCCCAAGAAAATTTTGATTCTTGTGATTTACCAGCTTTTCTTTCATGGTTTGGCTGAGTGTACCATCCTTGACAGGTTTCTGCATATAAACGAGAAGGGTTGTTTATGAGATGTTTCAAACTTTGTGGGAATCATTTAACAGAAATGACCACAGACTGAGCTTCAAGGCACAAAATAATAAATTCCTATGGGTGGCAATCCCAGCGTAGGTTTTCTTGTCCACATGCTCGGACTGCTGGAAATCTATTTAAATGAAAAGCAAAGAGAAAGCCACCAGCTGCTCTGAAATTCTGCAATACACTTATAGAAGAAAATGCTAAATATACAAAGACCTGGGACCCAGAAGAAAGCACAATGAAAAGCAGCCTATACTAACATTAACATGAATAAGCAAATCTCTGGAGGAAATAAGTGTCATCTTACTCCTCCTAAAGGCTGACCAAGCTCTGCATAACTTGATGCCAGGGGCAAGGAACATAGAATACCCCTAGCTTTGGATTCATATCCTTAAATCACCGTGGTTACAAACACTGAAAACTAAAACGTCAGGTAAAGAATCACAGCACTGTCCCTTGAAACACCAGAGTGAATATCACAGGAAAGCGGTTGTGGATACAGCCTCAGTCACGCCCCACACATTGGGACACTGACTGTTGCTCACTGCCTGCACCACTGGATACTAGGGCATCAGCTGTTTGCGTGGACTCTCCCTAAGCCCACTGACACAAACCTGGAACTAACGGAGGTTTCTGTTTAAAAAGAAATGAAAAGATTATTGTCAGGGAAAAAAAAAAAAAGAATGAACTGCAATAGCGATGTCAGAGTCAAGGCAGCGGGAAAATGAGTGGATTCTTGAAAGTTTTATTTAGCTATATGTACGGTGTAACTGGGCCTCATTTGCTTATTTACTTGGATTCGTGTTGGGAGAAATGTTGAAAACGTTTAGGAGGGTTACCTTGGTTCTTCTGTCAGCGTATTCACTTTTTCTGTTGCTGTAGGGCATATACTGAAGTTCTGGAATATTCCGCCATCCAGTCGCAGGAGAACGAGAGTGAAAAGGGTAAAGATCAGTACATTGATAACATCACCATAAAGATAACCTAGAAAGAAAACTAATAAAAACGACCATTTAGGAAACTGAGGAAATGAAGCAGGATCGAGGAAAAACCCACTACTTTTCCTTAGAGTGAATGGCACTACAGATATATTGGAGTTGACAGTGTCTAGTACCGAGGGAGAAATGCTTGAAAAATCGCAGGACGCCACATGGCACATGCTCTCCCCCGCGACCCGAAATCGAAAGAACGCCACCCACCCCAACCTCCGCTGGGGTCCCCCCCCCTTGGGGAGCCACTGGTCTTTCGGTGGTGCTCACGGGCTCCTGAGGTAGCTCACTTGCTCCTGGTGTACCTGAGAACAGCCTTCGTGCCCTCGGACTCGGCCAGCCTGCCCATGTCCCCCGGCAGCAGCAGGCGCACGGCGATCTGGATCTCCCAGGCGGTGATGGTCACGTGCTTGACGGAGTGGGCCAGGCAACCAGCCTCGGAGCCGATGCGGTCAAGTATGTCGTGAACCATAGAATCCATGACACTCACGGCCTCCCGGGAAAGGCTGAGGCCCTGGTGAACCTGCTTCAGCACCAGGCGGAAATAGGTGGCGAAGCTGTCCCCGCGGCAGTTGGCGTGGCACCTGCGGGGCCCTCGGCGCCCTCGCTTCCTCTGCTTGCTCTTCTTCTGGGCCGTTGTGGAGTTGGCCTCTTTGGGCTCCTGGGTGATCACTTGTTCCCCAGAGGAAGTTCTAGCCATGGCGGAGGCAGCGGCCATTAGATGGCAAGAAGAGGCAATGGCGGTTGTCGCCGGGGACAGACAATGGCGATTGTGAAGCGGGGACGCTTGGGTACGCAGCATGGCTCCACGTCACGGGCCAACTTGACATCTGATTGGATCAAGTGGATGAAGTCACACAGGGACCCTGTCAGCAAACCTCCCTGCATCGAAGGTGACTGGATGGTTCCGTTGCTTGGCATCTTGTCAACCAATCACAGCGTGCGTCTGCCGGCCTAGGCGCCCCCTGTGGCCTACGTCGGAGGCACTTACACAGATGCCTCACCGGGAAAAAGCGCATCAGCCCTCCTCAGCTGATACATGACACACCCTGCGCACTTTGAAGGGTGTCACTGAAAACTCCCAAAGCTCAGCAATTTCAGCTCATGCTCCATGAAGGGAGACAGACCTCCTGAGCCCAAGGCCATTATGCGGATGCCAGAGGAACGACCGTGTCCACGTGTGGACCGGTTCTCACCCATCTCAGAATCTACTGTTATCCCTGGCTAAGCCACCCCGGCTTTAGCAGGAACTCCCCGATACGGCTGCCAAGGGCTCCTGGGCAGAAAAGGACCTGGCGGTCTGGCTGCTGTCTTCAGTTCTGATCACCATCTTCAGTGAATCAGGAGAACGAGGAATGGCCATACCACAGCCTCCAAGCCGAGAATAGAAACGGAAAGGTGCTTTCATTTAAAACATATAACCACACTCAACATTGACCAGGTTTAAACCCCACCCCCAAAAAAAAAGAAGAAAATAAAAACAGGAAAACGAAACAGCAACCACAAATCACAACTCAGAAGCTGGAAATGGCTAATAAGTTTAAGAGATATTCGATATGAAATATCACCTTAAATCTCCTCGGAACTCCCTGAGGAAGAGAAATAGATTCCAAAAATGAAAACCACGTTCAATTTAGAAAGATAGCTTTCATGGCTCACGCCTGTAATCCCAGCACTTTGGGAGGCCGAGGCAGGCAGCTCACGAGGTCAAGAGATGGAGACCATCCTGGCCAACATAGGGAAACCCCACCTCTACTAAAATACAAAAGAAAAATTAGCTGGGCCTGGTGGCGCACCTCTGTAGTCCCAGCCACGCGGGAGGCTGAGGCAGGAGAATCGCTTGAACCCGGGGGGCAGAGGTTGTACTCAGCCAAGATCACGCCACTATACTCCAGCCTAGTGCCTGGCGATAGAGCGAGACTCTGTCTCAGAAAAGGAAGATAGCCTGTGATAATATATGCGAAGACATGCCTTAAATGAATTTAAGTAAAAGTCAGTTGCAGGAAAAAACAACAAAAGCTTATTAAGAAAAACTGAAGAAATAAAGGTCATGAATGAACTGTCATTTCAAAGGTCAGGCTGGCAGGTGTATCTTTAACAGACTACTTGTTCTACTCCTGATAAATCGGTTCACGATTTAGAAGGACAGAAAGCCTCATGTTTGCTATTAGATAACATCCTATGTGGTAAGCTCCAAGACAGAAGCCTAGTAAAGGATTTCTGAACAGTCCCCTCTACAAACGATAATTTTATAAATCTGCTTGAACTCTTAGCAAGCCAATCCTTCTCTTAGTTTGGTACAAGGCAGAAGAAACTTGTACACAACAATCTCTGAATTCATATCAGTAAATCACCGTGAGTTTTTTGTTTTAAAATGACGCTGTCCCGGAAGCTGTCCCCGCCGCGGTTGGCATGGCGCCTCCGGGACCCTCGGTGCCCTCGCTTCTCCTGCCTCTGGGCCGTCGAGAGGCTGGCCTCTGTGGGTTCCTGGGTGCTCTGGTCTTCCTCAGAGGTTGGCTTAGAGGAAGGCTCAGCCATGGCGGAGGCAACGACAGCTAGATGGCAAGAACAGACGATGACAATTGGGCACCTGGGAAGGTTGGGGGCGGGGCATTTTGGAGTGGCCGCGTGGTTCTATGTCACAGGCCAACTCGACATCTGGTTCGAAGAAGTGTTTCCCAAAGAGCCTGTCAGCAAACCTCACTGCCTTGAGGGTGATTGGATGATCCCGTTGCTTGGCATCATGTCAACCAATCACAGTGGGTGTCTGCCGGCCTAAGTGGCCCCTGTGGCCTACCTCAAAGTTACACAGATAGATGGCCCACAGGGCACATCAGCCATCCTCAGCTGATCTATGCCGCGCTGTGAGCATTTCCAAAGGGGTCACTGAAAACTCCCAAAGGTTAGCAATTTCAGCTCACGCTCCTTGGAAAGAGCTTGACCTCCTGAGCCCAAGTCCATTATGCGGGAGGAATGACTGTGGCCACGTGTGGACCATTCTGAGACGGGTGCATCTCAGAATGTACTGCTATCCTGGGCTAAGCCAGCCTGGTTTGAGCAGGAACTCCCTAACATGGCTGCCGAGGGCTCCTGGGCATAAAAGGGCCTGACGGTCTGGCTCCTGTGTTCAGTTGCGATCAACACCTTCAGTGAATGTGGATAAGGAACAATGGCCAAAGCACAGTCTCCAAGCAGACAACACAAACAACAGTGGAGATGCTTGTAAAAGCATTTCCAATCCTTAAATGTGTATGAAATTTAAATCTCTTTTCTGAACAGTATTTTGATCCCCAAAAGACTCTGAATGTTACTGTTGGTGAATAAGCGATGTTGGGTGAAAAAAAAACACTAGCCCAGTTCTCTAAGAAACCTTCTTATGGAGAAAAATTCAATCTATGAAATCGGAAATAAGTTAAATACCCTTCAAGAATATATGATAATACATTCAGAAACATTTCTTAAATACATGAATGCAAAACATAAATCCCAGAAAGTGAACCAAACGAGGATTTAACGATTAAGAAGAATTGAAGACATGGAGATCACCAGGAAGGTACCATCCGAAATTCCAATGCTGCTTCCTCTCAGACTTTTAAGATCAGGTCACTTATTCCTAATAAGATTGTTCCCGGTTTACAGAGAAAAAAAAAATTTTTTTAACAGAATCTTGCTCTGTCACCCAGACTGGAGTGCAGTGGCATGATCTCAGCTCACTTGCAATCTGTGTCTCCCGGGTTCAAGTGATGCTCCCACCTCAGCCTGCCGAGTAGCCTGGAGTAGAGGCACGTGCCACCACGTCCGGCTAACGTTTTAATTTTTTATTTTTTGAAAGACCGGGTTTTCTTTAGTTTCTCCAGCAGGGTTCCAAACTCTAGAATCACACGATCCTCCTGCCTAGGCCTCCCAAGGTGCTGGGATTACGGGCATATGAGCTAAAGTGCCCGGCAGACAAAATTTATTTCAAGAAAATATAAAGTAACATGCTGTTGATTCCCATTTCAGGATGCATACTAAAAAAAGAAAAATCTGAGCAGCTCATTTATAAACGTGGTTACAAAAATTGTACCTTAAATACTGTTAATTAAATCACGATACACACACACACACATAAGGGAAAATGTTTACTGCAATAAATAACCATTTAAAAACACCAAACAGAGACAAACTTTACTAATGGAACAAGGAGACCTCATACACTCTTTTCTCATCATGGCGTCTGTTATAGAATTCATTTAAATACATAACAGAAACCCACAGCGCAGAAATTGCTAAATCAGAAATTCATTGAACACATCTTTTTCAAGCTTCCTAGAAACTGAAGTAAGTACTCTAACGCGTTCACATTTGTCTAATTCTAATATTTCCCATTCTACAATCTTTTTCAACGCAGAGCCTAATGTCCTGTGAGTATGCATCACTTAGGGTGAAAGCATCCAATGAGAGCACCCAAACCCCACTCTCTGCTGGCTCAAGGAATGTATCTTCAGCCCTGGGCCTCAGCCATTGGCTCAAGATGGGAGCAGGTGACCTGACCTGATCCATTAAGTGCCCTCCTAGCTGTTCAGGCTTGCAAATTGAGGAGAAAATTAGTTTGTGCTTTTTGTCTACTTTATATTTCTTTGTTTGATTTTTTGCCTTATTGTAATTGTGGTGATTTCAGGATGTGAATCCAAAGCTGTGAGTAAGCACGTGTCCTGCCTCTTGCATCATACTGTGAAGAAAGGTTCTCTGAAAAGGAATCTGGAGGTAAGACACTATTCCTGCGAAGGGTGTGAAAAACCAGGGAGGTAGAGGCTTCAGTGTGAAGCAAAGGTGCAATTCCAGAGAACAAAAAGACGATATGGCTTTCATAGAGAAACTTCCCATCCAAGTTCCCAGTACAGTCCATTTATGCAAATACAGGATTCAGACTTAGGTCTGATTGGTTGACTCAGTTGAGCTCTGATTGGCCAGTACAACTGAGCCCTCATTGGCAGGGGCAGATGAGCTCTGGTTGGTTGGTTGGTTGGTTGGTTGATTCAGGTGAGCTCTGAGAGTTCCAAAGTTAGATAGTGCTGTGGATTTTTGGGAGATTCATAGTACATCTGTGAGCTCCAGTCAGCACATGGCAGCTTGGCTGTATTTTAAATTTAGGCTCAGCCACTGGGATCCTTCTTGAAAGACTGGCTCTTTTAGATTCACGTTTGTTCACAAGTTAAGGAAAATGATAGTGACCAATTAAGAAAGCTAGGATGAATCTCTCCCTTTTTCTTTTTTCAATTTGATTGTTGTGGGGTTTTTTTTTCACTTTCAAGCACATGTATCTGACAAAATTAACCCACTATGGTAATTTGGGTCAATGAAAACACTTACTTCAGTACAAGGCTTTCTCCACACTGTGATTGGTCCTGATTCTTGACCCAATATAATGCTCTTCCTCTTTCATCATAGACTGTCACTCTGGAGTAAGGGGGAAGTGAGTGGGGGCACAAAGAAAAAGCTTTAAAAAGTGACTGTTTACTATTTCTCCTAATCCCAGCCATTTTCCCCAGCATAGTGACCATTTGTCCTGATTTCACCTGTTGTCCCTGAGTAATTCTTAATAGCATTGCTTTCATTCTGAAACATGTCCAAATTTAAGACTCTGTACCTCCCAGGGTAACTAGATCATGCAGGAAGTTGTGAGTGTCGTAGCGCTCAGGTATTTGTTGAATGAACATATAAATGAATAAACCTCTGTTAGATAAGACACTGGCCCCTGACAAACTATGAGATAATTGCTGAATTTGTGTGGCTAGTCCACACAGTCCTTCTGGATCTCTTGGGTACAGTCCCCTTTCCTGTACTGCACTTTAAAAAAAATTCTTTCTCTACAAAGCTGTCTGAGTCTCAGTGGAAAACCCACGAGAATGTTTGATTGTGTTTCCTCCATGGTCTGCTTGTCACATTGACTCCCCCCAGTAACCCTCTATAGTGTAGACATCTCAGCCTCAATTTTTTGCAGACAACACACAGGGTAACTAAGTAATGTGTCCAGTGATAACACAGCTGATAAATGGAAAAGCAAGGATTCAAATCCACACCAGTCTGAGTCCAGAACCCAAGTACTTGAACATTGTCCTCTGCCATCCTCTCTCATGTTGTAGTGGTGGCACCTTCAAGGCGTGGATACCTAGGGTAGACAGTCTGAGGGGATCCTCCCCTTCACAGCAAGGCTTTTCATAGCTTGATCTTTCCCCGAAGGCAATGTGATCAATTCAGAGGTGTAAAGGCAAAAGCATCAAGTTAGCCTTCCTGCAAAGGTATACAAGGAACATGATTTTCTCATGCAAACACGGGAGCTTTTTCAAGCAGCAGTTAGCAAATTCGACGATTCCTGTGCTCAATTCTATGTTGCAATAGCTGTCTGAAGCATATGCAAAGCCATTCCGTGTTGTACAACTGTGTCCAATACAGACGGACTCCAACTCGGGATGGTTCGACTTAAAATTATTTGACTTTATGATAGGCTTAACTGGACTTAACTCCATTGTAAGTTGGGGAGCATATGTTTACCTTGTTGCAAACTGGTGAGAGAAACAGTGGGAAGCAGGAAGTGGCAAAACTTTTCAGGTTAGGGTTCTACAGTCATTACCTGATGATCCACATTTAGCTCTGTGGTGGCCAATTTTATGTCTTGTCTAGTCTTCCCAACCAGGGGGAGATTTTTTACCCAAATAAGCAAGGACAGAGATTTAGGTAACCTGACTTCATAGATTGATATAACCCGACTTGGTTGGGTTTGTGGTCAAATTTTATTCTGAATGTTTCTGTGAAGGTGTTTTTGGGTAACATTAACATTTAAATCAAGGGATCTGAGTAAGAGAGACTGCCCTCCATAACAGCCTGAACGGAACAAAAAGACCGACTTCCCCCAAGCAAGAGTAAATTCTGCAGCAGACAGCCTTCACACTTGAACTGCAACATCGTTTGTCCCACGGGTCTTCGACCTCATGGACTTTAGACTTAAAGTGTAACGTCAGCTTGTACCTGAGACTCCAGGCTGCCGGCCCATCCTGCAGACTTAGGACTTGCCGGCCTCCATAATCACATGAATCAGTTTCTTAAAATAAATCTCTCTCGACAGATAGATGGATGAACGTTCTCTTGGTTTTATTTCTCTGGAAATCCCTAATACAAGCTTTCTGCACCAAAACGCTGCTGCAGAGACCGGAGTGGTGTTTACATCTGTAAAATATCCAGTTATATCTCAGACATGTTCATGATACCATTAATCTATACCTTTGCCTTTAATTAGTGGCTACCCAGTAATGTCAGTATTTTTTCCTGGCTCTTTAGTGATGTCTCTTCACCATTTGATATGACTGTGGACAAAAACATATTCAGTTCAATGGCAAAGTCAAGGACTTAAGTACAATTTTGATTACTGAAAATCACAATCCCTTAAACATTGGTAGAGTCCACGTGGCACATATTAAGCGGAAGATTGAATGAACTTACCCCACTTCTGACCTTGCCAGTTTATTTCACTCCCTTTCATTACCACCTATATAGCTGACACTCATATTGGTTAATGTCAATTAAACCAGGGGTTGCTGTAGTAATAAAGAGTCACACGAGTGAACGGTGATTGTGCCAGGCATTGTTCTAAGTGCTTTACAGGGAACACTTCAACTACCTTTCAGAACATCTCTTGAGCAAGTGACACTTGCTCAAGTTCAAATAGGTAGAATATTATCAAGGTAATAATCAAACATATTTCTACACATTTAAGATGCCAAAGCCAAGATATTCTTATTAGGTATGAACATGCATTGATTAAACTCTAAGAATGTTTTTAAAACTCACTGGCCCGTACCGTTTCATGGGAATTTTAAGCCATGATACTGAATGAGACATTTTTATCCTTTGTAAAGATGAATCAGGCATGAAATTTTATTTGGCTGCTTTTCCTCTTTTCACTTTCAGCATGTTTTCTTTCCGACATTTCATCCTTTTCTGTTCTTAGTAATTAAGGTCGTATCTGCCTGTGTACACGGACAGAATAAAGGTGTAAAGCCGTTGACAAGTGATTTTCAAAGGATGTAGATGCATAAAGGAAGACAATCATTTAACTTTAGACTTTTACTTCCCCTATAAATGCAACTGCTACAACAAAGCCCTAGTACTGCCAGTTTTGTAGATAATAGATGAATTCAGGGACCTAAATCTCAATCCTTGCTCATTTGGAAAAAAAAGTCTAACCCTGATTGAAAAGACAAGGAAACTCAGTGACTAGAAGAGCACCCCAACATTAAGTAATTGAGAAGCATGGGGCAAAACTACTGCGGATGAGCAACTGCCGTTTTTCCCATCTCGTTTCTGTAGGAATATCAGTTAGTAATTACATGTCTTTCACCTCCTACCATGCACTTCTCATCTGCTCCAACTCAGTTTAACACTGACAGGGTGCATACCAAGTCTTTAATGAAACGGACAACTACCAGATGCAACCGACTATGAGTTATTGTTCAACCCCAGGTCACCCGACAACCTTCATGCTTTCCTTTGAGCTGCACTAGTTTGCAAATGAAGAAGTTGCTGAATCTATCATAGATGGATACCATCTTTATCAAATGTGCAAATGACAACACAGAAAGGGGAGCAAATGTGTTGGATGACAGGATCATTATCAGGATTCAGAGATCTGATAATGAGCAAATCTGAGCATATCTGCAACCAGGATGGTTTCCCATCTATGAAATTTGGGTCTGAAGGATCTTAGAAGAGTCAGCTGCAGAAGACTTGGAAGTATAGGGGCAGCACACAACAGCTGACTTCAAATTCTAGAGGATGGATTAACTACCCTCTCTAGGTCTCCAGCACACAATCCCAGGACTATTGGATAGAAATTACAGGGAGGCAGGTTTGGGCACAATGTAAGCAGCGTATCACTGCAAGGGGCTGAGCCACTCTGCTGGACAATAGCCTCAGGCAGGAGCTAAGGTATTGGTGACTAACATGGTTACCCTCAAGGCTCAAATCCTCTGGCTACACTAAGCCCTGTGACTGTGTCACCTCATTGGCAGTTGATCCAAGTTGACCCACCTACTGTTTTGCTTTTGAAAACTTTAAGCTATAGCAGAGAAAACAGCTCCCACTTCATGTAACCCAAGTGATTATTTAAGAATGTGAGCCCTTAGAAAGGGGGAGGTAAGATAATACTTGAGGTTGCAAATAGGTATAATCTATCTTTGTAGGAAGATATGTACATTAATAGATCACAATTCTGGATGCCTAATACTTCTATTTGGTGGGATTATAGGTGATTCATTTTTATACACGTGATTAAAGTAGGTTGGGCATGGTGGCTCATGCCTATCATCCCAGCACTTTGGGAGGCTGAGGCAGGCAGATTGCTTCAGCCCAGGAGTTCAAGACCAGCCTGGGCATAGCGAGACCTCACCTCTACTAATAATCAAAAAGATTAGCTGGGTGTGGTGGAAGGTGCCTGTTGTCCCAGGTACTAGGGAGGCTGAGGTGGGAGGATTGCTTGAGCCCAGGAGGTCAAGGCTGCAGTGAGCTGTGATTGCACCACTGCACTCCAACCTGGGCGACAGAGCAAAACCCTGTCCCATAAAAATAAAATAATAATTTTTAAAAAGGGATAAAAGTATTGTTTAAAGGGAGGAATTGAAATGCATGCATTTATACATATTCCTTATTGTATTAGCATAGACTAAGTGACTTAACAGAAATGTACTTGCTCACAATTCTAGATTCTAGAAATCTCAAGTTGACGTCCAGCAAGGTCAGGTTCTGGTGAGGGCTCCCTTCTTGGCACATAGACAGCCACCTTTCTGTGTCCTCACATGTTGGAGACTGGTCTGTCTCTTCTTATAAAGCCACAGTCCTGTTGGATTGAGACCTAACTGTTATCACTTCATAACCTAAATTACTTCTGAAACAACCTATCTCCAGATACAATCACACTAGGGATTAGGGCTTCAAAACATGAATCAGGTGGTCACAGGTGACAAAGTTCAGTTCGTAGCATTTTTGCTCACCGTGAATAGCAGAAACGTTTACTTCATAAAACAGCAAATTCTGTTCAGTAGAAAAACTGTATCAGAAGTTCAGTGTTACAGGTCACTAGAAAATGTGATGTGCTTAATATGGTGCTTGTTAGCAAGTGCCTCCTGTCCCTTTCTCCATCCAACTTCAGTCTTGGATATTAACTCCCATTAAGCTGAAAAAGGTTCCAGAAGGCAAGAGAGCCCCCAGCTTGAACTCCAGCCCTTATTCAGCTTGAACAGATCACATGAGACCCTGTGTCTTCATTTCTTTGTTCTGAGATACGGAGGTTAGTCCACATGACCTTCTCTCCCAAGGTTCTGTAACTCTGTGGTTCCAACTCTAAAGAAAGAGCACCTAGCATCCCCAGGTCAGGACTCACTGGGCCTGGACAGAATTGATTATTTCCCCCCATGAATAATCTGCTAACAATTTTCCTTCAACCATTTTGTTTGGCTGAAAAGGTAGCCTTATGTACTTTTCATTCCTTAGAATACTACCGGGAATGAACTACAAGAGTCACAGGATAATGATCATATTTATTATTTTATTGCTACATCGGAGGTGAAAATAAACTGTAAGATGCTGCCAAAGGATGCAACTTCATGAAGACTATGAAACAACTGAGGCACCCATTGTAGAAGGTTAAAATTGGCTTATCCTGTATGAGGTGGAAGGACTACACATACAACTGTCATCAATGGCAAGATTATTGACGGCATCTGCCATTTGGAATTTACATACCAATGGGAAGTTTAGAAAGGAACTTAAGGAAACATTCACTACCCCAGACCTCTTAGCCAGGAAATATAGGTGAGAAGAAATCAGAAGATGCCTGGAATCTCTACAAACACATAGGTTTACCAAAAAAACAAGCCTAAAACCAAGACCGTCAGGAAATGTTGAAATCTGCTCTTGAGAGGAGATCCCCATTTTATGATGTTCGGACACAGTCTTTCTCCTGCTGGATAGCTAGGGGGGAAAAGAAACAAAAAATTACAAAAGTCTTTTCCTAAGTTCAGCTTCTTCCAAAAGAACTCTTTGTAAGTCACTGAAGGCTGCCATACATGCTTTAAATTTGGAATGCCAAGGCATTAACCACGAAACTCACAGTGTGGTGTGTGCATGCATGTATGTGCACACTAACCACCTGAACTACCAATTAGAAACTACATCAACTGTAAGATTTGTTTTTCCAAATGCTGTTGCCATTTTTTTTTTCAGATTATTCAAGACCGAGGAGTAATCGGAGAACTTTCTTCAGATTTATTTATCGCTATATAGTCGGGAAAGTGTACACTTTCAGATAATTTTAACTAATGTTGCAACTTTCAAACAAAACTGATATAACAAAAGGGGCCTCTCAGCTTTTGTGAATATGCTTAGAGTTTCTCCATCAGGCTGTAACTCCAAAGGGCAGAACCGATCTCTCGAATCTGAGAGATTTGAGTATACCCAGAAGTACATTTGTTATCTCACCTTATCTTGTCATCATATATAGAAGGCCAAAACTACAGATTCTACAGGGTTCTTTAAGGATGATATTATGGACTAAAATTTCTAAATGTAGAAAAATACCAAATACCCCAAAGTGGACAAAATCTAAATGTCTTTTAGTGCTACATCCAATATTGCAAGATTGGTTTTAATGTGGTTTTTAATCATTTTCAAACAAGAAACTAGTTTTTTATTGCCCCATCACTACTAGGCCCATCATGTGCAAACCAGAAGAAAACTATTTGATAGTTTTACCCATTGCATTAAATACCATGGTGCTCTAATTATTGCTTACTTTGTGGCAAAAATTTACTAGAAGATTTACCGAACCTGTTAACTTTCTCCAATGTTTATTTCTACTAGAAACCCCCATGACTTACTTTCCTTTGAGGGAAGAGTATTTTTTTCTTCAGTATTAGTTTTCTTCAGTTTGGACCTGTCAAACTTCTCCACTTCCGACAAGTCTGGTTTATCACTCATCTTGACTAGAAGATAGACCGAAAAGAAAAAAAAAAAAAAATTGTTACTTTTATCTTTTTGAGACAGGGTCTCACTCTCTCGCCCCGACTGGCCTGTAGTGGCACAATACCGGCTCGCTGCAACCTCCGCCTCCTGGGTTCAAGCAATTCCTCTGCCTCAGCCTCCCAAGTAGCTGGGATTACAAACAAGCGTGCACCACCATGCCCAGCTAATTTTTGTATTTTTAGTAGAGACAGGGGTCTCACCATGTTGGCCAGGCTGGTCTCAAACTCCTGGCCTGACGTGATCAGCCCGTCTCGGCCTCCCAAAGTGCTGGGATTACAGGAGTGAGCCACTGCGCCCTGCCAGAAAAAAAGATTTTTAAGAAAACTCACCTGGCAGAACTATCTTTGGACTAAGGGGTCACAAGCAAAAATTTTCACGTTTCCTATCAATGTGTATTCTACCTGCTCATTTTCAACAGAACAAACAACAACAGATCTTAGAAAAGACATATTTTTGTTAGTATAATTTAAACTCCACAGCATTAGCCATTTCTGATAGGCAGTAAATGCCATTGGATCAGAACGCCCCAGAAACCAAGATGCTCTAGAAACGCAGAGCCAATAGGTCTTACTCTTAAAATCACAGCAAGGGTAAAATGGAGGTAATAGAAGCATAAGACCAGACAGGAATAGAAGGGAAAAAAAAGTCTGGCTTTAACCAGGTAATGATTTTGTAACAGGAGATAGCACTATTTGAGCATCTTCGCTTTCTATTACTTTGGGGTTTTGGCATTTTTCTTGGGACATGGAGAGCAGCACACAACAAAGTGGCATAAGTTGTACTAATTTATTTCTATTTTAAATCCCCAAAGAAGACAGTACATTAAGACACTACAACACACGTGTCATAGCTCCTTGTGGCACCGGTTTGTAAACGCTATCAAAAGGGACAGTTAACTAGGATCAGACCCAGGACTACAGCAAAATGGAATAAACCAAACATAAGTGGGTCTTCTTTCACCATCTTTTCTCTGCAGAGAGAGATGCAAGGAGATGAGGCTCAGAGGTGCGTGACTGTGGACCTGACCGAATGCCTGGTGCCCTGTGAGCGTCCGGAGTCTGTCCAGAAGAGACAATAGGATATCCCGGAAATCGCAAGGCAGAGCTCGGGTGCGCGAGCCCGGCCCCACCCTGGGGGAGTAAGACACTTCGTCTAGTGCCCGGGGTAGAATGGAGAGGCCCCCAAGCAGCCAGAAGTGCCGAACCTGCCTCCATTCCGTCGAGGTTACCCTAAGGCCCTACTCTGCCGAGCGATCAGACTCCAAGCTCGGCGCTGGGAAATGGAACTAACAAATAAATAACAGCGGGGCCGGGCTCAGAGGCCAGTCTGTCAGGAGCAGTTGGCATACTTTTTCAAGTAACTATTAGCGTTGTCGGGCGCCCAGCCCAACGGCCATGGGAGGAGAGGGAACGAGGGCCCAGCCCCAGAGGGCCCATTCCTGGCGGCCCCCAAACTCCGCATCCTCTAAGCCTCCGAGCCGCAGCTACCGCGGACCGGCCGCTTTAAGGGTTCGTCCCCCCTCCCCTTCCCGGGGCCTTATTTTCAGGGGCCGGCCCCCCGGGAGGGCTCGGCGTCGCGCGCAGAGGGCGGCGCCGGGGGGAAGACAAAGGCGCGGGCGGACTCGCCGGGCCGGGCTGCGGTGCAGACGCGAAGCGCCAGCCCCAACCCCGGCCGCTCTGGCTCCCGAAGGCGCGGCATCCCCACCTCGCGACCCCCACGCCTTCCGGTCCCCATGGTCCTCTGGCTCCGCGAAGCCGCACGTCCTCACCTGAAGGGTTGAAGACTCGGGAAAGGTAGTCCGCGGGGCTGAGACCGAGGCTGGCTCCGGACCAGGTTAGCGTTCCCGCGCAGAGCCCCGGTAGCAGCCCCGCCTCAGCCCTCTCTCATTGGCCGAGGGTTTCCGGGCTCACCTCCTTCCGCTCTTCCGCTGTGGCCTCCAGAGCCTGCGCCCACGGTCTCCTCGACCATCAGGGGCTTCGTGACGTCAGAGCAGACCCCGCCCACCCAGGCCCCACCTCCCAGGCCTCTTCCACTGCTTTTAGTCCTGAGGGTCCACATTCCCTTCATCCCAAGTACACTCACTCCTTCACAATAACAGAGGCCTCTTCAATAAGCTGACACATCTTGCCCAGGGAGCTTAGAACACCTGACCGAGGTCCAAGCGGAATGACCGGTATTTAGGCTCTCTCGGCTTTTTATAGCCATAGGGGCCTAAGGATGCTATGACAACCTAACAGTAGGTTGGGTATGGGGCTCGGTGTTTTCTGCTCTAATCCTTGGCCAGGTCGTGGAGTAGGGGTTCTCATGGTGAGAGTGGGTGTTTCAGAACCATTCGCCCCTATAACTGGACATTTCTGTGACAGCAGTGCTCGCCTATGAAATGTAAAATTCACATTTGCAACTTTCTCAGCCACTGAACACAATAGCAGTTTATAATTACCACAGAACAACTGAGGCTATTCACCTTTACATCCCCAATCCCTAGCACTTTGGCCCACAGGACACACTAGTTGTGGAGATGTCTATAGATTGAAGTTATAAATCCGTGATAGAGAGGAATTTTTTGACAACAGCACCGCTCAGTGTCTGTTGGAAGACAAAATTGAGGACCCGGTATTTGAAAGGACTAAACGTTCAAGATCATTTTCTAGATACTCACCCAGAACCTTAGGGCATTAAGATGGAGGTACAACTATGTCTTTAGCTTGCACCTCATGTATGTTGGTATACATCTATATAGATCAAATGTCACTCTTTCCACAAGGATTTCTCAAGCTTTCCCACCTCACTTCATTATCTTTTCTTTGCTTTTGTAGCACTTTCTGTTAATTTGAGAATTGTGTATGTTTGTTGGAGAAACTTTTAAAACAAAAAGGCATAATCATTCAACAAATAATATTCATTGAGTACCTGCAATGTCCCTGGCATTAAATATAACAAACACCAGTGTTTCCGCTACTCAGATTTCAATGTTGTTAACATTTAGTTATATTGACTTTGTCTTTCTTTTAAGGAATGAAACCTTTACAGAAAAAAATGGAGGTTTTCTTGACCTTCACTCCATTTACATTCACCTTTCCACTTCCCCAGGGGCAGTCCTATCCTGAATGTGATGTGTAGCTTCCAGTGTATTTTTTTAACTTTTAAGTTCGGGGGTACATGTGCAGGTTTGTTACATAGGTAAACTGTATCATGGCCATTTGTTGTACAGATTATTTCATCACCCAGATATTGAGCCTAGCACCCATTAGATATTTTTCCTGATCCTCTTCATCCTTCCACCCTCCACCCCCTGACGGGTCCCAGTGTGTGTTGTTCTCCTCTGTATCCATGCGTTCTCATCATTTAG